GTCAAATGAGGCCAACACTGCGCCCTGGCAGCGGCTCACGACGCTGAGTGGTGACACCTGGGCACAGGGTCAGCCCTCAGGGCATGGCACGCACAGCGGCCGGCAGCTAGCGTGAGCTCCCTTGAGGCAAAGCCCTGATCCCTCAGAGCCAGCCCAGGCTCACAGGGAGTGGCATGAACAGTGCCACAGGCTGCCAAGGCCCCACTCTGACTGCAGACAGGGATGGCTCCTTCCCCTCCTGACCTCAGCAGCCGACAGGCGCCCACCCAGGCAGGCTAACTCCTGTCCTCCCCTTCGTTTCCTGCAAGCCAGGATCTCAAACCCTCATGAATGGGTCACAGGGCTCTGTGAGTCCCGACATCAGATGCACAACTGCATACAGACATGCGTTTTTCTGAGGCCAGGAGCATGCTGCCACCAAATTCTCAAAGAGCTTTCTCATTTGTACCCCATCCCAAAGTAAGAACCACTGCTTTGGGGACAACACTGTGGTACTGCAGGTTAAGCTGACACACGCATCCAGTATTGGAGTGCCACTTCAAGTCCTGGCTACACTGCTTCTGATCCAGCTCCTTGCTAATGGCCTGGGAAAGCAAGGGAAGATGGCCCAGGCATCTGGGGCCCTGCCTCCCATGTGAGAGGTCAGGATGGAGTTCTTGGCTCCTGGCTTCAGCTTGGCCCAACACTAGCTGTTGCAGCCATTTGAGGCATGACCCAGAGGATGGAAGATTCTCTCTGCGCGCGCGCGCGCGCGTGTGTGTGTGTGTGTGTGTCTCCCTCGCTCTGTAGTTCTGCTTTCAAAAAAATAAATCCACAAGTCTTTAAAATAGTAAATAACAATAAAAAAGAACCACTGCTCTAAACTGTCCATTGCAGACCACATCCATCCCCCACCTGTCAGACCACGCACCATGACCGTGATTCACTAGACGTGAACTACAGGTGTACAGACAATCTGGGGAAGTCTCTGTAAACCACACAGCCTTACTCATACAGCAGAATGGCCACACTAAATATAACGAGCCAGGTAGAGCCGCTGACACGGAATGGAGATGCTCCCAACCCTGAGTGCCTGCACCTACTCTTCCATCATCAGGTACAATGGTGGAAACTGAACAGTATACCTGCCCTGGTGGAGTTCACATTTAAATGAGAAAAGGTGATATGATTCAAAGATTACCCAGGAAGATACAGGCCTTTAGCTCAGGAGTGAAGACACCACGTCCCAGACTGCAGTACCTGGGCTCAAGTCCCAGCTCTGGTCCTTGACTCTGGCTTCCTGTCAAGGCAGGCTCTGGGAGACAGCAGTGATGCCTCCAGCAGTCGGGTTCCTGCCACCAACACGGGAGATCTGGACTGCATTCCCAGCTCCTGGCTGCAGTTTTGCTCAGCTTCGGCATGTGGGGAATGAACCAGCAGACAGAAGTTCTTTCTGTCTGTCTGCCTCGCTCTCTTTAAATTACAAAAACAAAACAAAACAACCGTACTAGCTGCTGCAAAGAAGGGATGCACAAAGCTGTAAGAACCCATAAGAGGAGAAACGAACCTTTCAACACAAGTCAGTGAGGGTTTCCTGTGGCAATGACGAAGTTTATAGAAAGAAGGATCACTTAAGAGGGCAAAGGGGAGGCTGGGGCAGAGCGATTCCAGAGGAGAAAGGCTGTCTAGGCAAAAGTCCTGCAGCAGGGAAGCTGCCTCAGCAGCAAGTCCTGGAGCTGAATTAAGGAATTCAGCGCTACTCTCAGAGCACAGGCAAGAAGACAGTGAGGGGCTTCACTGTGGAAGTGGCAGAAGTCAGAGGACTTTGCCAAAAATCTGCTGGGGGTATCTTGGAGGAGGACGTGGGGAGACTCATTCGGATGGCCCTGCAGCAAAGGGGATGGACAGTGACAGCAGCTTAGGTGGGCGTGATGGCAGAAGCAGCCAAGATGGCGGACAGAGAGAAGTCCAAGACACGAAACGCCCAGGGCACGCAGAGGGAACCGGAGGAGAGCACCCAGCACAAAGCCCCGATCTCTGGTTCACGTGACAGCGATGCCCGGAAGAGGACTGGCCTCGGGGTGCACACACCGAGATCACGTTGGACTTGCGGGGTGTGAAGTGCTGAGGACAAGCAGGCGGCTGCGTATAGGGGCCCAGGTCCAGAGGGAGGGTCAGGCTGGGGACAGAAAACGTCACATGTGTGGAGAGATGGGCACTGGACTCAGGGACACAATAAACTCACCCGGAGAGAACAGAAACGAAGAGAGAGAAACCCAGAGAAATCCAAACACTTCCGCCCCCTGCAGTGAGGACGCAAGGCTCACCGGGGAGCAGGGCCTTCCTGGGGGCTGAGGTGCTGGTGGTTGGAGGAGGCCAGGGATGGAGGGCCCGAGCCAGAGCACAACCGCTGTACTGCACACAGCCTGAAGGGGGTGCCTGTTTTTGGACGAGGGGGGTGAAAACCTCCTGTGAAATGTCCTGACTCAAGAAACACCGTAGAGCCATGGGGACCCGGCTGATGAGAGTGAGCTGGGCCGGCACAACAGAGGCAGGAACAACTTCAAGTCACGCCAAGTTACACAAAGTTCTGTTCGCTGGGCTTCTGCTCGAGGCTAACTTTCCCTGGAAGCCGTATCTGAGTACATCAGTCCACAGGGCCCTCTTCTGCCTCTCCACACCCCCGTCACGTGCTGCACCAGTGTCGGGCATCGCACTCCGTGTAAAGGATACAGAGTGGGGGGAAATCCGGTCTCTGTGCCACAGGTGTGCACAGGCAGACAGACGAGCAAACCAACCCGTGGGTGCAGAAGGAGGCTGCTACCAGAATGCAAAGGAGGGAGGCGAGAGGCTATGGGCAATCAGTCAGTGCTTCCTGGGGTGGTGATTGACAAGGGGACAGAGGGGAGACAGCTGGGGCAAGAGGAGGCACTGGGAGGGCAGAGCTGCAGCTAGGAGAGGGAATGCATCTTGGAGAACACCAGATGAGGCTGGAGTGACAGGCTGGGGCCAGATGTGAAGAGGCCTTGAATGCAGAGTGCAGTCAACAGGAACCCAGAGGAGTTTCAAACCAAAGAGTGACATCAGCAAGCGTGCAGGCTGGAAACCGTACTTGGGCAGCAGTGCGCCATGGCGAGAGAGGCCAGCCAGGAGACCAGGAACCCCTGAAGGCCACCAGTGGGCACAGCCGGGCGATGCTCTCTAGAACCAGCCAGGGCACTGTGTGCATCACTGCTCTGCTCCTCTCCTACCCACCCAGAACTTCCAGCGAACTGCCCACGAGTCAAGGCCTCCGCTGTCCAGGCCCCTTGAGGTCCTCTGAGAACAGGTCTGACTGCATCTCACAATTCCTGGCCCAACACACATGCTGAGGAATCACAACCTTTCCCGAGATACAGCCCCAGCCAAGTCACAGGGACGCTGTGCCTGGCCATGGCTGGCAGCTGGTCTCGGGGACAGGACACTGGAAACCCCCCCCAGGGATCTGATCATGGGAGAAAGGAAGCGGATGCATACTGAGCCCCTGCTATGTGTGGGCACCTCATTCACAGATCCGGGAGGAGGCAGTGCCGCCACCATCTCACTGATGTACGAAGGCCAGGCCGGGCACGGCAGCTCCGCCGAGGTCACAGAGCTCTCCAGCAGTGTCGACTGCAAAGGTCAAGCAGCGGCTGCCTCTGCTCGGACAACGAGCAAGTGGGAAGCGCTAAGGGCAAGAGCTGGGGAATCAGACAATTTGACCCCACGCCTTTGTGTCTCTTGTTCACATAGAAAACGCGATTCTAATAACACCTATTTCATAGAATTAGCATGACAAGATCAAGGAGGTGAAAGTCCCTCTCGCACAGGAAAGAGCTCCTCAGATCACTCCTGCTCCGTTCAGCAGAGCTGCGCTGTGTGAGAGACCTGAGCCCTGGCTGCTGTCGGATCCACCTGTCCTGCCTGCTGTCCCCACGTGACCCCCGGGACTGGGCTTCGGTCATTCCTGGTTAGTCTTACTGCTGCTTACTCAGCTGCAGTTCTGAGAATTTTAATGAGAATTCAATCCTCCAACCTTACTTTACAAAGGGCCTCTTCTGAAAAAGAAAATGCTAATGTGGGAACATAAAAAGCTCTCAAAAAAGACAGGCTTGGCTAAGGGAAATTGGGCCATCAGGTAAGACCACTTTCCTCCACGGCTGCTGAAATTATTGTTACTGTGTAGCCGATGACATCTCAAAGATGCTTACTATATTCTTCTGCTCACTCAAAGACAAGTGCCAGACACTAGCAGACACAGATCCCTGAGGCAAGGGTCCTGCCCTCTGGGAACACACAGCCCAGCACAGCGCAGGAAGGAAGGCAGCCAAAGCCCTGGCTCTGTGACAGAGAATAGGAGAACAAGAGCAGAGTCCAGAGAGGGAGGGATCACACGGCCGCACCCCAGGGGAGGCTTGGTGACAGGGTTAGATTTCAGTAGAGACATTCGTAGGACTTTCCCTGGCACCGTATGTTTGGGAAAGATGACCCCACAGGAGCAAAAAGGGGAAAGTTCTGGGTATATTTGGTTTGCCTGCGGGTGGCAGGCGTCTGCTGAAACCCAGACAAGCTTAGCCACAGCAATGGTTTCAGGGGGCCGGAGCAGGAGACTAGGTGGGGCCGGGTCAATGAATGAGGCAATGATCGTGAGTCACTGAAAGAAAAGTGTCCCTAGTGGCATCAAGCGAGACAGGAAGCAAGGATTCCCACTGTCCAGAGCTGAACTAAGTCGAGGATGAGGAAACAGGAGGGACACTGAGACACCTTAACCACCAGTGGGAGGGAACCACAGCTCCCCTGAGCATAATGGGGTAGGAACCTCCGAAGGAGGAGTGAATGTGGGAGCCCAGGACAGGGCCGCAGGAAGAAAGCGACGTTCTAAGACATCGTCTGGGGAGCTAAGGGAATCTAATCGAGTCTGAAGTCGCAGTGATCTACAATAACATAAACTTCAAACTTTTTTTTTAACTGGATAAAAAAGTGACATTCAAAGTTTCTCTGACCTTTGTCCTTTGACCTTGGAAGAAATCACTGTAGTGTTTAAGCAAGGAGACTTGCACCGTGTTCTCATCATACTTGATTAAGAAGTAAGGCAGGGCCGTGACTCCTTCTCTTTGACAAAGATCATCATACGCACGCTTCAGGGCCTCTATCTGCAAATAGGAAACAGGAGGTTATTCTCTGGACAAACACTTGTCGTTCTGAGCTAAAACCTGACATGAAGCTGCCTTGAGGCCAGCAGAGTGGAAATGACCGATCGCACCTCTGCTCCTCTTCTGCAGCAAATGAACGTAAATGTGCACCCAGACACTGCGACACTGCCACGTAACTTCTACGCGACCCCTTTCAGGTGCACGGTGTGCACCTTAGACAGGGCCGCAGTGTGGTGGCTCCCGAGTCTGCCAACCACAGAGGGTCGGCGAGGAAACAGATGTTCCATCTCTCCTGCACTGGCCAGCATGAATGCCCCATGGGGCAACGTGACCGTGAGCCTCCCATGATCTTTAACAAGGAACCTTGCCGTGACCTTTACTGAGACACCACTCCAACGCCACACTGAAGTACACAACCTCATGAGTTTTTTAATCCAGTCACAGGGGTGTCACCATCAGAGTGACAGTTTCATAGCATTCTTAATTTTTCCTACAAGGAAGCCCACACTCGCCAGCAGTCATTCCCCAAGCACGAGCATCCCTCACCCCCCTTCTCGTAGGATTTCTTCTCTGGAAATTAGTCCCACAAACCACAACCTTGGGTTTATACTAAAGAGCTTGTTCTTGGTTTTGCCTTCAAAACAGTCACAGGGGCCCCGGGCTTCAGCACTCAGCGTTGTAGTGATGCAGTCGTGGTGACGCTCAATCCTCGCCTGAACAGCTGTCGGAACGCTCGGGCTCGGGGTCTCAGCTCCGCAGCCTGATCGTGCCAGCTGCTCCTCTCCCATCACCTCCGAGGACCTCACCCTCCTTCCCAGTGAGATGGCACCCACTGGCTGTGCACGTGCCGCTCCTGAGGGGGCAGTCCTGCCGCCGTGCACGAGGGCAGAGGGCAGAGGGCTGTGTGATTTCAGACGCTCTTCCCGCAGAACGATGCCTTAGGTTTCCCTCCACTCAGTGTGAAGACTCTGTTTTGGTAGATTCTTGCAGTCTTTCAAAGTGTCCCTGTAACCCTCCTTGCTGGCTTAGCATCTCACCAAACACCATGGAAACCTGGAAAACTCCTGCTGACTGCATCTGCAAAATGACCCTGTGAACATTCTGTCAAGAAGTCTGTTCCCGGGCCAGCACTGTACCATAGTGCGTAAGGCCACTGCCTGTGACGCTGGCATCCCATATGGCAGCCAGTGCGCGATCCAGCTCCCTGGGAAGGCAGTGGAAGATGGCCCAAGTACCTGGGCCCCTGCACCCACTTGGGAAACCTGAAAGGAGCTCTGGGCTCCTGGTTTCAGCCTGGCACAGCTCTGGCTATTATGACCATTTGGGGAGTGAACCAGCAGATGGAAGACCTCTGTCTCTCTCTCTATCTTGGTAACTCTGTCTTCCAAACAAGAAAAGAAAAAAGAAGCCTGCTCCCAGTGCCAGCTTCGGAGGCTTCCAGAGTTAGCACCTCCTTGTCCAGAGCAGTGCCCGTCTGTCCAGATACCAACATTTGCACACTGAAGCCAATGTTACCAGTACTTTGTTTTATGTGCTGATACCTGTTTTGGTGAAAACCTCTGATCCAAACTCACTGGCCCCTGAATGAGAGGTATACTCTCTGGAAGACAGAGGGCGGGATAGCAAAACCAGTAGTAGAAGTGGTACTTCTTTAGATCCTAGAATAAAAGACATAACACACGGTATTAGTGCAGCACCAAACATCAAATGGAAACACATGTATTCATGTAATTTCTCACAGCTAATGAAGAGAGGAAAGCATGGTTGACTTGCCATATTCTCATCTCAAACACAACCCAGCACCCAGAGCTTCTGATTTCTGAGTACTTTCACCTATCACACGCTAAAAATATAACGATGAACACAATTTGCTTTACGCACCACGTGTGTATCAGTTCACAAAACCACGCTGGGAGGTCACTGCTGTCACCCCATTATACAGACAGAAAACTGAAGCTCCGTAACAGACACTTGAACAACAATGGAAAAGACAGCAAGTGGCAGAATGAGGATCAGAACTTGGCTCCTGGACCCTCAGCTTCTTCCTCACTGAACCATGCACACCCAGTGCACCACGTGAGCAGGCATGGCCTCCACACGGCTACCATTCTCTAATACTTTACACACGTTACGAAGGAAGCCATGCTGCTCACGTACAGCTGCCTTGTGGATCCATGGGTCTTGCAGTTACGAAGTTAATCACGGATTGACAATATTAATTAAAATAAAAACTGCACCTGTGGTAACGTGCAGATGTTTTTATCTTGTGGGGTAACCACCGTGTATGCAGCACTGAAGGATGTGTGTAAGTCATGCAATGATGACACCATTTTACATCAGGACTGGAGCACGGTTGATTCTGGTATCCATGGGGGCTCCTGGAACCAGTTTCTGGGATACTGAGGATGACTGTACCTATGCATGCCTGCGATAATGAAATTTTGATTTCTGACACGTCTTACTGGTGAAACTCAACAATTAAGCACCTGTTGTATACAAAGCAAACATGAGCCTCTCTAAAAATAAGATGAATGAACTCTGGAATCAGCCACCCTCCTCGAGGCGTGGAGATCCCGCGAGTGCAGGAGTCACTGGAAGCCCCACAGGCGGCTCTAAGGCCTATGGAGCCAGGATGCCAGAAGAGTTCTACCACCACGGCTACTTCTGACCACTCCCCAGCCAGGGGAAGTGGCCTGGCGAAGGGACTCGGGGGCTGTCTTCCAGGCAGAGGCCTCCTGTGGGCCCAAGTCACCCATGAGGTGGATCCCAGAGTCACATGGCTATGACCAGGCAGCCTTCTCCCACGGACTCTGCCATGCTTGACCACCAATGCAATCTGACTAATTAATATTTTGGGGGCCGGTGCTGTGGCACAGTGAATTAAACCAGCATTTGCAGTGCCGGCATTCCATATGGGCACTAGTTTGAGTCCAGGGTACTCTGCTTCCCATCCAGCTCCCTGCTAATGCACCTGGGAAAGCAGCAGAGGATGGCCCAAGTCCTTTGGCCCCCATACCCATATGGGAACCCTGGAAGAAGCTCACAGTTCCTGACCAGCCCAGCTCGGGCCATGGCAGCCATTTGGGGAGTGAACCAGCGGATGAGAAATTCTCTGCCTCTCCTCCCTCTCTCTGTAATTCTTTCAAATAAACAAAAAAAATCTTAAAAAACAAATATTTTCCACTGAAACCTGGATGCTTAAAATTTACGATGTTAAAGTATATAGTTTAGTGGGCCTTTCTTTTAGTATACCTGGATGCTTGTGCCACCATCAGCTACTAGTCCCAAAACACTTTGAATACCCCCAACACCCCCCATACCTACCAAAAGAAACTCCCTTCTCTCTCCTCCCCTTCTCCCCCGGCAACCACTCTTCCCATAAATGGAATCATACTTGATGACTTTTTTTTTTTTTTTGACAGGCAGAGTTAGACAGTGAGAGAGAGATAGAGAAAGGTCTTCCTTCCATTGGTTCACCCCACAAATGGCTGCTACAGCCGGCGCGCTGCGCCAATCTGAAGCCAGGAGCCAGGTGCCTCCTCCTGGTCTCCCTATGCAGGTGCAGGGCTCAACCACTTGAGCCATCCTCCACTCCCTTCCCGGGCTACAGCAGAGAGCTGGACTGGAAGAGGAGCAACTGGGACATCCGACGCCCCAATCAGGACTAGAAACCAGTGTGCTGGCGCCGCAGGCGGAGGATCAGCCTAGTGAGCCGCGTGCCAGCCACTTGGTAACTTTTTAAATATACACTTATATATTTAAGTATGTATCCAGATGAGGAAGTTGAGTAACCACAGTTTCTGCAGTCTAATTCTGCCACTGGTTGATCAGTTAAGGTAAAACTCCCATTTCACAAGGGCAAAACAAACAGCAAGACTGAAATGAATGACATATCTGGTCCTTTCAGTCCTAAAAACAGCAGAAAGGAAGCAAAATCATCCCCACAGATTACTCTTTGTACTTAAGTGACTCGTCCTCGCCCGTCTTAGTAAAAGGTTAAACAATTCAAGATGAAGGACCTCACACAGTCTGAGAAGCTTGCTTTATCGGGTCATCTTCAGAAGTCAAAAGGCTTGAATTTCTTGGGATTCTTTTCACATTACAAAGAACTTTGTCTAAATTAAACATAAAGCTCTTTGTGTCTGAAGATTTGAAAAGATAGAAACCTTTAATATTTTCAAAGGGGCAAGTGTTTAGCATGGTGGTCAGGATGCCAGCAGGGCACCTGGGTTTGAGCCCTGGCTCTGGCACTTTACCCCAGCTTCCTGCTAATGCACGGTAGGACGGCAGTGACAACGGCTCGGGGTCATGGATCCCTGCCACCCATGTGAGTTCTCAGCACCTGGCATCTGTCAGTCTGACCCAATCCCGGCCATTACGAGCACTTGGGGAATGCACCAGCAGACTGGAGCTCTTTCTATCTCTCACATAAATAGACAGAAACACACACACACACACACACACACATTATTACTAGGAAGACAACATTCAGGAGATACAGTGGGGAAGAAGGAAGGGTGAAACTTACAACTTGGAAAAAACAAAAAAGCAGAGTGGGAAAGAAGACAACCAAAGCTGAAGAAGCTGTGGTGAAACCAGTTACCAGGTGGCAACATTAACACTCACAGGCCCGCCCCACAGAACTTACTCTGAAGAATTGAAATAAAGAGGAAAACGACCACCACTGTTCACTACAATGGTTTTTATAACAGTGAACGTTGGATACAACAGGGTGCGCAGTGGGCGTCTGGGACACACATGTGATAAAACAGCCGACATAATTACAGGGGATTTGTTAGTTTTACACACACACACACACACACACACACACACACTAGAGTACTTCAAAAAGCTCATGGATAATGGAATTGAAAGATAATCTTATTTTGGTACAAAAAACTTAAATTCATATACGAGTTAGTCTTCAAAAAGTTCATAAAAATTGCCTATTACAAGAAAACTGGGGGTGGGCACTTGGCAGTAGTTAAGATGCCAATTGGGACACCTGCATCCCCTATCAGAATGCCTGCTTCGAGTTCTGGCTCTGCTTTTAATACAGCTTAACTGCTAATATACACCCTGGAGGGCAGTAGGTGAGGGCTTAACTACTTGGGTCGCAGGGCTAGCACTGTGGCACAGCGGGTTAAGCCGCTGACTGTGACACCAGCCTCCCACATGGGTGCCGGTAAAAGTCCTGGTGTTCTACTTCTGATTCAGCTCCCTGCTAATGCTCCTGGGAAAGCAGCAGAAGATGGCCCAGGTGCTTGGGCCCTGCACCCATGTGGGAGACCTGGATGGAGTTCCAGGCTTTTGCCTACCCAGTCTTGGGCCTTTGTGACCATTTAGGGAGTAAACCAGTAGATGAAGGGTTTCTTTCTCTCTCTGTCTACCCCTCTCTGTATAACTCTATCTTTCAAATAAATAAATAGATAAGTAAATATTTGAGTCTTTGCTGCTTACATAGGATACCGCGATTGAATTCTTGGCTCCTGGCTTTGGCTTGGATGACTCGTGGGCATCCAAGATGTTATGGGCACCTAGTAAGTGAACCAGTGAATTTTTTTTTTAAGATTTTATTTATTTACTTGACAGGTAGTTACAGACAGAGAGAAGGGAAGACAGAGAGAAAGGTTTCTCATCCACTGGTTCACTCCCCAAATGGCCACAACAGCTGGAGCTGGGCCGATCCAAAGCCAGGAGCCAGGAACTTCTTCTTGGTCTCCCATGCGGGTGCAAGGGCCCAAGCACTTGGGCCATCTTCTACTGGTTTCCCAAGCCAAAGCAGAGAGCTGGATCAGAAGAAAAGCAGCCAGGACTAGAACCTGCACCAAGATGGGGTGCTGGCACTGCAGGTGGAGGCTTAGCCCACTGTGCCACAACACTGGCCCTGAAATAGTGAGTTTCAGATACCACCCTCTGTCTCTCTCCACCTACCAATAAAAATAAGTAAGTAAATACAAACCTAATGGACTTCAATAACTTCTGCACAAAGTAAACTCATCTTTTAACTCCATTCTCCACACACCTTTTGAAGTGCCTTTGCATGCACACAGAACACATCTGTGTGTGCGTGTACGTGAGCAGCTCATGCCTCCACAATCTGCCTTTGCCCCTCCCTGTTTTCCACTCCCGGAGACCAGGCCCTTCCCTCCAGCTCTCAACTCCCACTTCCCTGGGCAGCTCTGCCACACTCCTGAGATTTCTTTTGTTCTTCAATGCTGCCCTCAATGTTCATTTTAATTAGATCTCACTCCTTTCTTTTTTAAACAGTCACATGGTCAGGCCTTAGATATGACCTCAAGGCCAGAAGCCCCTTTCACGTATTTGGCTGGACGCAGCCACGCGCTCTGCAGGACGGCGTTTAGTAAAGACGCCAGCGGCGCAGAAACCCCTGCTTTCACGCGGAGTAGCAGGAGCGGGGCCACCGTGCAAACAACCTACACGCTCGCTGCCAGGAGTTGGGCAGGAACGAATGGATTCCGCCAGCAGTCACAGGTGCCAGCGCCGGCTGGCTGCTAATCCAACGAGGGGGAAGCCACAGCTGCAGAGGGAAGAGCGCAGAGCGCCCTGACGGCCCCGGGGACTGCACCAGGGGATGCCCGAGCCCCAGGAGCCCGCACTCACTGCGAATGTCAAGAGGAGGAACTTGTTGAGGAGCACGGGGTCTTCAAGAGCAGCCCCTGACTTAATGGACTCCCATATCTGCCGGAAGAAAGAAAAGTGCCAGGCAGGTTAGTCGGTATCTCGAGGGACACGTGGAGCCAAAGGTGAGCTCGTCTCTCTCACCGGCCGGCCACCGCTTCCGCCAGGCACGGAAAGGGCCACCATCCCGCTGTGCCCACCTCACACCGCCTGCCTCTCTGCCCACCCCACTCACTCCGGTGTCTGAGCAAAGTGAGAGGCCCAGGCACCTGCTCTCTGCGGTCAGCCTCGTGCCTTCTTGACGTCCTTCAGCAAATCCTTACCGTCCACTACACACAAGCCACAGGTGGGCTTCAGAAATCAACAACAGTCCCTGTGTTCAAGAAGCTCACAGCCAATCTAAGCCGAGAGACGGGCACAGAGGATTTGAGTTCAACACCACCCAGGACCGGCAGTCAGAAAAGCAGGCAAGATTCCTGGGGCCGGGGAGGCAGCAGGGGAAGGAGCCTGCAAGGCACTCCCAGAGGAGATAGTCTGAAATATGCAAGGCACTTCAAAAAGTTCGTGGAAAAGTGCAACTGAAACAAGCCTACTTTAATGCAAAAAAAAAAATAAAAAAAACAAAAAACAAACAAACAAACAAACAAAAAAAAACCATGAAATCCATGCATTTTCCGGAGATGCATTGTATTTGGGGACTTCTGAAACCCTTATCTGGGATTCCCCTGACTGTCCTGCAAGATGAAGAAAAGAGAAAATTCAGGTTTATGTAGCAGAAGCTGGCACTGGCCAGAGCTGCTGAAGACAAGATGTTTCAGGGGTGCTGGCTGTTCAACCTTGTGTTACCGACTTGTGGGGAGCAACCCGGGCTTAGACTAAGTTACTGGAATTAAGACTTATTCTATGCATCTGCTCTCCCACAATATGGCGCTGGGAGAGAAGAAAACAGTTTGTACACAGCTGCCTCCAGTTCAGCTAATAAACTGTAGGACTTGCTCCTGATTGGAGAGCAGCGTACTCGGCGTGTGGGCAGCTGAGTTAGGATTGGCGGAGGAGGACTATAAAGGAGGAAAGAGATGGCATGCACCGGGAACATCTAAGGGGAACACCTGTGCAGCCCCCGAGAAGAGCCGGCCGGCGGTGTGCCGCTCCCCTGCGGAAGTGGGGAAGGCGGCCAGGGGGAACCGCCCTTCCACGGAGGTGGAAGGGATAGTAGCCAACCCGGGAAGAACCGGCAGCAAACCCGGGGAGGGCCGAGCAGACGAAAGAACAGCGCAGGGTCCTGTGTTGCTCCTCCACGAAGAGAGGGAGCGACACGACTGAGCAAGACAACATCTGGGCCGGTAAGAACCATCCCCCAGTTATGGGTCAAGAAGGAAATAAGCCAGGAGAAGCTCTGACTGCTGACAACCTCAGACAAGTGAGGGACACCCTGAAAGCTGGGGAGTGGGAGTCTGAGCCTGGGTGGGGGTGTGTTCCTGGGGCGAGCATCCTGTTTTGGTCCACTGTGGAAAAAACCTGACCCAACTCTTTGGAGATGCCCTTCTAAGGGTACAGCTCAAACAGCAGGCCAGGGAAGTCAAGTCACAGGCCAAGAACACTGACCATCACCGCCGACCAGGAGCTGCGTCTCCCACGAAGGACGCCTCAAGGCCCAAGGCGGAAACTCCCTTCCCCGACCCCTGCACACGTACAGATCAGACTCCACTCAGTGGGTAACAGACTGGGATAACCGCCCCCACCTTCCACTTTCTTCGGTCTCACTAACAGACATGGAGTGCAGAATGTCTGGTGGTCCATTTTCAACAAGGATTGGAAAATTACTATCAGCTGACTTGCAGATGGTGCCACATTCCCCCAGAAAACAGGATGTCAGGGAGCAGCCGACTCACTAGAGGAAGGTAACTTTGTAACTTAGGCCACATCTGGGAAGACTGTATACTCCATGGTACGCAGCCAGTAGGGAACCGAGGGAGGGACCTGTGTGCTATGACAGAAATTGCTCGCTGTACCTGCTGTGGGCGAGCCTGCTCATCAGACACCCAATCTTGCAAGACCGATAACAGAGGCTCTTTCACTGCACTTCCTGAGTCCAAGTCCACCTCTTGCGTGGCCAGATGAGGACATTTCCCACAGAGAGAGACAAAGGCAAGGCATTCCAGGCAGAAAGAACATTGCGTTCCCAGGAGAGGGAAGAGAACAAAAGTAGGTGAAGCGAGACTCAAGTGATTTGCTGTGATGGAGACAGAGGAAGCAGGGACAGAATGACAGCACACAGAGGACAAACAGGTCAGCAGGGGCCAGGCCAGCAAGGGCCTTGCCAGTCAGATGAAGTGATTGGGTTCTGCCCTGATGACTCAGGAGAGGCTGCACGATCACCTCCTAGAATCATGAAGCACAGGATGGTCAAGGTCTCCAAAAGACAAAGACGACACTGAGTTATAGGAAGATACTCAGAGAGGCCATGTGGCTTCCCAGCTCACCCGATTTCCAACCTCTGTACCTTGCCACCCCTGGATTTCCCCTGGATGTCTTCTCCCTGAATTTCCAGCCCACACATAAGGAGGGAGCTGGGAGTATTCTCTCTGGGGAAACCACCCAGGGTCCACAAACAACTCTGAGTGCCCACTGTGGTTTCCGTGACAGACACATCACGTTTTCCCAGCTGACCTTGTTTGCTGTTTGTTCCAGGAGGAGCTTCTTGTCTGCAGTCTTGAATGACTCAAGCGTGTTGGTGTTGTACAGGGTTCCCAGGGCTGGGCAGCAACGGGCAGGAGTGGGGGCGCTCCTGGATGCGAGAGAAAGACACACAGTTATCCAGGCACCACAGCCAGCCAGGGCAGGACAAATAAGCCACATGGCAGCTGAAGGCCAAGGGTGCCACTCCAGAGGGCATACAGGTTCCTTGGTGGAAGACGGCCATCACTCAACGACTGAAACTGGGGGCCCCAGCGCTGCTCCCCCACTGCCCTCTGTGTGGGAGTTCCTTCCCTGTCCCTTATTCTTTCTCACCTTTCAGTCTTACTGAGCCAGGAACTGCGCAAGGTCTGGATCATAACAGCTCCTTGCCCACTGTAAAGTTTCAGCAACTTATCTAAGGCCACATAATGGCCAGAGCTCAATCTCAAGCCAGAACTAGTGGACTCCAGGTGCCGCAGCACAAACCTCCTGCTCAAACCCTCCCCGGCCTCGAGGCCTGCTCCAATCCATCTTCTTCCAGGAAGCCAGCTCCTACTTAAAAAGTTTATCTGTTTACCCATTTAAGTCAAAGCATAGTATTTCACAGCATTTTCAAGGACAGCTGCATACCCCCAGCCAGAGCCCAGCAAGCCCTCCCTGATACCCTGCGCCTCCCTGCCCCGCATGGCTCTGCCCAGAGCTGCTGCATAGCACACCTGCCGGCTGTCTGAGCCACGTAGACAAAACGTATTCCACCTGGGCCACCTGTCAATCTCTCTACACTGTCCCCAGTGGTCTCCCAGTCCTCAGAGCAATCCAAGTCAGGAGAAGAAAACGGGTGGATTCTGAATATAAATTCAGACGGAGGCAAAGCTGCTCTCTTTTCTGAAATGATTAGCTTGTGTTCCAGAAGTTCGGACGCTGAATGGAAATCTTCATCTCATTAGCAGCCTACCCTCGCTGTCTCTTAGAACTACTGTGGACAGAATGAGCTCCTACTGACTGCACTGAGGGGGGCTGCACTGCTTCGAAGCCCAGGGTTTCTTCATTCAGAGTCTGTGAAGACAGGGTTCGGGGAGCTGAAGGAGAACAGATCGAAACCTGGTGCAGGTGCTGAGGGGTGCAGTGAACGACAGTGGCTCTGTCACAGACTGTGTGTCTCAAATGCCACAGCCTACAGGACAGCTTGCTTTCAACAGCCAGAGCCTTCCCGTGGGAGCTCTGAGTTCACAAGTCACAGGCTGTGTGTCACCATCCAGGTTAAATGAGGACATCAGACAGTCTGGAGGAGGCAGGGAAATCACAAGGAGACAAGATTAAGTTCACAGGGAAGGAGAAGGAAGCAGAGCAGCTGGTAAACCTCGCTCTACACTGGGACTTTAGCCGTGAAACTGCCGGCACAGGAGGAAGGATGCCATGACCTAGTTTGAGTCACTCAGCCTTCGCCTACACGTCCAGGTGCCCAGGTCGGGAGGGCCACGCTGAAGCCTCACTCTAAGAGGGGAGAAACCTGCCTCCTGAGGCCAGGAGCCGCTGCCATGACAGCCAGGCGGTGGGAGCCCCAGCACGCGTGTGAGTGAGTGAGGCCAACCTGACGTGACAAAGGACGAAGTTCCACCTGGGAGGTGAAACACATCAGAAAAAATGATAACGGAAGGGAAGTGCTAGCAACTTGGAGACAAAAGAATTTAGTCCCAGTCCCGGCCCTGACACTTAGGTTTCCTAGGATTCCATCCATATGAAACGTCCAGAGTAGGCAAACGCTCAGGGACGGACAGATTGTCGGGAGATTCCTGGTTGCCAGCAAGGGGGAGGGGACACAGAGGGACGGCTAAGCATTTCTTTTTGGAATGTTCTGGAATCAGAGAGTGATGGTGGTTGTACAACTTTGTGAATTTACTAAAAACTAATAGCTGTGCCTTTTTTTTTTTTTAAATATATTTATTTGAAAAGTTACACAGAGAAAGACAGAGAGTCAGGGCATGGGGAAGGGGAGGGAGGAAGGGGGAGGGAGATATCTTTCATCTGCTGATTCACTCCCCAGATGATAGCAATGGCCAACACTGGGCCAGACTAAAGCCAGGAGCCAGGAGCTTCTTCCACGTCTCCTACATGGGTGACAGGAGCCCAAACACTTGGCCATCTTCTGCTGCTTTCCCCAGGCCATTAGCAGGGGCTGAATCAGAAGTGGAGCAGTCGGGACATGCAAACCACGTCCGGTGCCCATATGGGATGCCAGCATAACAAGTGATAGCTTTACCTGCTGCGGCACAAAGCCAGCCTCTGAACTGTGCATTTTTAAATGGTAAATTTTACAGGACGTGACTTACAGCTCACTGAGGCTGTTGAAATGATTTGAATCAGAAATCTCTGTTACATCCTTGAGCCAACAGTGACCTCGCAGGGATCCAACCCTTGCGCTGCCTTCACACCTGCCTGTGCACGCCTGGTCTCACTGGCTACTCAGAAAGCACTGCAGCTGTTCTGTACATTATCCACACACGCCTGACAGCAGGCAGGGGGCAGAAGGAGCTGAATCCTCTGGAACAAGAGCAGCGCTGCTGTCCATGCCGGGCGGCTTCCCGCGCCTGCGGGCACCTCTGGGACCTGGGAAGGCAGAGGCGTGACGCGTGACCTCTCGCTTTCTGCATCAATCTCTGGATTTCCGTTTCTAGCATCCCCTAACAAAGTCCACGCTGTCAGTCCAACAGCTGCACTGCATCCCTTTTTGACGGCCACGCACTGAGACTGCGTGGAGCCCTGGAACACACCCAGCCCTGAGTGGGCGCGGGCGCTGCAGCCTCTGACCCCCACGGCTGCTTCCTAAGTCCTGGGAGGGCGAGGATGATCCCTTCTGTTTCTCTAAGTCACCTTGAAGACAAACACTCAGCGAGAGGAAGGGGGCCAGGGAAATGCCCTCCTTCCAACGTTACAGAGGCAGGCATTTGACGTGCAGTTAGGGCACCACTCAGGATGCCCATGTCCAACCTCAGAGGGCCTGGGTTCCCGTCCCAGCTCTGTTCCCAATTCTCTCCTCCTGCTAATGCACACCCTGCGAGGTGCACCAATGGCTCAAGTCATTGGGTCCTTGACAACCACGTGAGAACTGCAATGAGTTTCTGGCTCCCAGCTTTGGCCTGGCCCAGTCCCAGCTGTTGTGGGCACTGGAGGGGTAAACCAGCAGAAAGGAGACAACTGTCTCTCTCTTTGCATTTCAAAGAATAAAATAATTTAAAAAAACTCAAAAACCCAAACCTCAGATGTTCATGTGAGACCCAGGGAATTAACTCATCAAGACAAGTCCCACTGGTCCACGGGCTGTCTAACAAAATCTATTCTCTTCTCTGCAGAACAGAATACACACGGGACGCCACAGCTGGGCAGCCGTTTCCCAGACGGCTTGGCAAGACAAGTAGGTCCCAGCTCTCCCCGAGGGACAGTGAGTGGAGTGACGCTGTCTCTCCCCAGCCTTTGGGAGCTTGGGTGTGTCTCTTCCACCTGCTTTCACACCAGCTCTCTTTCCCTAGCTACTGTCACCTGAAAGTGACAAGCCAGCCCTAATGAGCACGCAGAGTCCAAGCCCCTGGGGCTTCAGGAGCCATAAAATGGAAGAAGCCTGACCACCAGCCCTGGACTGCTGAGTGAGCAAGAAACAAACTTCCTCTGTACTGGGCCCTTCTGTTCTGGGGGTCTCACAATGGCTGCTGCTTGAGAAAATGCCACTTGACTGACAACGCACCGAACAGAATTCAGAGAAAAGGATCTAGTGTTGCTAACTGTAGCAGCAATTCTTAAAACTTCCAGGAACTCGGTGCAAAGGGGATTTATCTGGTGCCCTGTGAGACTGAGACACTCCAGGCATCCACAGACGAGCACCAGGACAGTGGGTTCCTGAGCTCCGTCTCATTCCTCTCTGTGTGCCCACCGCCTACTACGCTCTACTGCCGAGACCCAGAGCAGGCCATCAACAGGAGTCCTGAGTAATGATTACCCCTTCACACCTCCCAGCACCCAGACACTCTCTTACGCTACAGGGGTCTCTGGGAATGTATCTCGTAAGGCTTTGTACTCCTGATGCCAACACATCCTGCATGTCGTGACACTGCTGTCTGATGGATACATTCATAGACATTTTCCCTACATGCCCATGCAGAAATGTAGCGGTGAAAACAGGGCTAGAGGGCCGGTGCTGTGGTGTAGCAGGCTAAGTGCCTGCGGCACCGGCATCCCATATGAACACTGGTTTGTGTCCTGGCTGCTCCTCTTCCAATCCAGCTCTTTCGGCCCGGGAAAGCATTGGAGGATGGCCCAAGTGCTTGGGCCCCTGCACCCACATGGGAAATCCAGAGGATGCTCCTGGCTTCAGAGTGGTCTAGCTCCAGCCATTGCGGCCATTTGGGGAGAAAACCAGCAGATGGAAGACCTTTCTCTCTGTCTCTTCCTCTCTCGGTATGTAGCTCTAGCTCTCAAATAAATAAATAAATCAAAAAATCTTTAAAAAGAAAACAGGGCTGGAATGGTAATAACAGAGCTCATCTGGATGTAAACAATCCATGCCCTTGGAGGAATCCCAAATGCCTTCATTAAACTTTTCAATCCCCCTAAGAAAGAAGGACTTGGAAAAATCACAGAAGGAACATTAGAAGCCCAGCACCCAACTCAAAGATGAGATAAATGAAGCTGCAAAAAACCAAAGGGACAGGGCCAGCGCTGTGGTGTACCAGGTAAAGCTACCACCTGCAGTGCCGGTATCCCATTTGGGCGCCGGTTCTAGTCCCGGCTGCTCCTCTTCCGATTCAGCTCTCTGCTATGGCCTGGGAAAGCAGTGGAAGATGGCCCAAGTCCTTGGGCCCCTGCACCCGCGTGGGAGCCTTGGAAGAGGCTCTTGACTCCTGGCTTCGGACTGGCGCAGCTCCTGCCATTGCAACCATCTGGGGAGTGAACCAGGCAGCACAAGCACTAGCATGAGCTGAAGACGGGACGTTTCAGACTCGATCAAAACTAGAGCACTGAGAGCCCGCCCATCACCTGCAGATGGCTCAATGTTTGCACATTTTCAGTATTTTCTTCATTAGACTGTAACTGCTCCAAAAGGAAGCTAGCCGTTGCCAAAACGGCAGAGAGACTATCAGGCTTTAATGTGTTTGGACAACAAGTAATCATAAGGGATTTCTGATGGACCAAGAAAGCTCAGAAAGACGCAAGAAACACCCACACACAGTGTTTAAACAAAGCAAAGCTGGGGCCGGCCTGGTGGCACAGCGGGTAGGGCTGCCACCTGCTGAGCCGGCATTCCATACGGGTTTGAAGCCCGGCTCCTCTACTTCTGTTATGGCCTGGGAAAGCAGTAGAAGATGGCCCAAGTCCTTGGGCCCCTGCACCCACGTGAGAGACCTGGAAGAAGCTCCTAGCTCCTGGCTTCGGATTGGCCTAGCTCCAGCTGTTGTGGCCATTTGGGGAGTGAATCAGCAGATGGAAGACCTTTATCTCTCTCTCTGCCTCTGCATCTCTGTAACTCTGCTTTTTAAATAAATCTTAAAAAAAAAAAAAAAAAAGAAAACAAACCTAAAACTGTTTTGGATTTATGTGATGCTTTTGAATTTGCAATTTGATTGAAATAAAGGAATAAAATGCACCAATTTTTTGAGCTTTTTAAACTCCAGGGATATTTTTGTCTTTTTTATTTGAGACGCAGACACACACAGAGAAAGAGAGTGAGCGAGCAAGCCAGCCCCACAATAGCTGAGGCTGGAGCAGGCTGAAGCCAGGAGCTGGGAGCTAGAAACTCAATACAAGTCTCTCATGTGGGAGAGAAGGACCCAACTACTTGAGCCATCACCTGCTGTCTCCTAGGGTGCACATTAGCAGGAGCTGGAATCAGGAGCAGAACTGGAACTCCAACCCAGGTACCCTGATAATGGAATGGGGACGTCCCAACTGGTGTGGTAAAGGCTGCGCCACACTCCGCCCCCTGGCTGATCCTCATGCACAGCCTAGCTCCTCGGCAGGGGCTGACCCCAACGCCCCTGGACGTGGGCACTGCAAATCTCAAACACAACATGCCCTGAAACAAACTTAACCTCCTCTGGAAATCGTATCCCCTCGCAGGTCTCTACTGTAGAAGGAAACCCCCCTAGCTACTCAGACGGGATCTCAGAAACACCTATCTGAACGCTTTTTTATCTTTCTCTCACCCCTGCGACGTGTGACCTTTAGCAGGCCCTCTCACCTTTGGACCCATTTCGGTCTCATTTGACAAAGAGAGCAGCAGCACACCAGGCATATGCTCAAGAAACTGCCTAGCTACGCAGGTGCTCAGGAGGTACTCTCCTCTCCCCACAGCTCCCAAGAGGGTAAAAAGATACTTTGAGGATGTTCGTGTCACATTTCCACATGGATGCCGTTAATGCCTTACGAGGTGGCTGGCATACAGAACTAGCCTAATAAACGCTCAGTGACGGATGCCCAGGGACCAGCAGTTGAAGGCGTAACTCAAGAGGCATCATAAAGCATCACAAAATATTAACTACAATTGGAATCAGGAGGGATGTTATCTAAGTCTTAATTAATCTAGATGGTACTTGGCCCTAATGAGCTCTGAAAAATAATCATTTTTTCCAATGAGAAAGTGAAGCGGAGGGCCCCAAGCATCCAGCACTTGTCTTGATGGGAAGAGTAGGAGGGCCATGTTCGACCTCCCCAGGGGCACCTTAGCTCTTCCCGGGGTCCACTTGCAGCAAAGTAAAGGACACTCCCTCCTCTCCAGAAATCAACGGGGTTCTTCACTTTAGATCGTGAATCAATAAATACTCACATGTCAAAAGCACTGAACTCCAACGTTAAGCGAGCTGGCAGCCCGGCAGAATCACCTGGACAGAAGCATCATCGTATTTTCAATTAAAGTCAGAAATAGCAGCATTCCTAACAAAAGCGTTTGTGAAGAGCTCTGTTCTCTTTGTCGAGCCCAAAGTGCTCCGTCCAATTTCCGATCATCTATGATACACAAACAACATCTGAACAGATACTGGCAGAATGTGACACAGCTCTCGTGAATACAAGGGATTTGCCAAGAATATAAAAATAGATGCACTGGAAACATCAGTATTTCCAGCCTCCCCCAGCTCCTCCCAGCAGTGCTGGGTGATGGGCAAAATGTGGCCTGACAACTCGGGCTTCAGCACCCCATTCCTCTCCCCACAACCTGGGCAAAGAAATGCAAATGACCAGGGCTCGAAAGTCACCTGTAAAATCAAGGTGACTGACACCGCACTGCAGGAGAGAGAGGTGGCAGAGGATGAGGGGCGAGGGGCGAGGGGCTCACTGTCACCTACCATTGTAGTAATAACCCTTAATGTCCTTGGGCGCCTCATCCAGCCGATACTCATTCAGCTTCTTCTGCGTCAGCTCGTGCCAGAAGCCCACGTCCAGGGCACTGCTGAAGGGGGCAAACTGCAGTTTGGAGAGGCCGGGGTCACCCGTAGCTGCTGCCATTCTTGGCTGCCTGCTGAGAAACAGGACAGAACACGACATGATGGTAGAGCCAGGCAAATGTGGTGAGAAGGACCGGCGGTGATGAAGCGGAACTCAAACAAGCAAAGGGTAATGAGAGGGATTGGCACTATGACTTTTTTTTTTTTAATTGTGGCCCCCAAACCCCACAAAACATCTAATTGGCATTTTCGTGTTTTGAATTACTTCTTTTTGTGTCCTGGCCATTCTGAGGGGGTGGTTCAGCAGGACTGAGGCCACAGACAGTGTTCCGACACGGACACAGAATACTTCATCTAGTGAAGCTGGGCCTCCACACCTTTAGACAGCAAGTCCCATGCCCTCAGGCAACCACCGCTGCTCTCTCTCTCTCTAGGAGCTGGACTGCTGGCCAGCTGGCATGAGGAGAATCACACTGCATTTGTCTCTTTGTGACTGGCTTGATTTCACACAATACAAAACTGGGAAAGCCATCCTGAGTGGTTGCCTGTGCTGTCAGGGTTAGCCTCCCTGTGACCCCAGTGGGTTTTCTAAGTAACCCTTTTGGGCACAACTTCTGTGCATCTTCCTCTTGGGTGTGCACGGGCATGCACGCACACACACACATACACACACACCCTGCTTTTTTTTTTTCACAGGCAGAGTTACCCTTCAAATGGCTGCTACAGCCAGTGCGCTGCACCGATCCGAAGCCAGGAGCCAGGTGCTTCTCCTGGTCTCCCATGCGGGTGCAGGGCCCAAGCACCTGGGCCACCCTCCATTGCCTTCCCAGGCCACAGCAGAGAACTAGACTGGAAGAGGAGCAACCGCGACAGAATCTGGTGCCCCAACCAGGACTAGAACCCGGGGTGCCGGTGCTGCAGGCGGAGGATTAGTCTAGTGAGCCATGGCACCGGCCACACACCCTGCTTTGAGAAGCACAATCCTGGAGGAACCTGGCAGCCCCAGGAGGCACAGACTGACGGGCCCCTGGCTCCCCGCCCCAACCCAGTGCCCCGCGGCGAGGCACCAGCACTGCCACCGCAGAATGGATGAAGTCCCACTGACGGGGTACGCGAATAAAGGACAATTCCAATCCGCTCGAGAAAGTTTGCCTGCGTTTTGTGCCAAGATTATTAAAATGACTGAGGTTCTTCCCACTGGCTGGGTGTCTGGACTAGAGATGAGGGCTGTGGGCCGACAGCACTCTGTGACGGAACACAAGGCCAGTGCGCTACGCGGCACGTGCTGAGAATCAAGGGGAGGAGGGTGAAGGAGAAAGGTTCTGTGGAGAGACGGGCACTGAGGCATGCTGGGAAGGGTGGCAGAGGAGCAGAGGAACTGGGAGGGCGCAGACGGGAAAAGCGTGAGACTGGCCGTGCGGCAGCGCACACAAAGCTCAACAGGCTGCAGGTGAGCACGCACGGAGACGCCGCAAACCCGCGGCTGAGGCACTTCAGTGGTGCCTGCACAGGCAGTGTGGCACACGTGCCGCGGTAAAAGGGCCTCGAAAGAGAAAGACAGGTATTAAAGAGCGTTGTCTGGGAGGCCATGGGTTTGGACTGGGCACCTTCCCCGGGCCCAACAGACCACACCAGTAGAGAGTAGAATCACAGCACTGAGCTTGGGCCGACTGCACAAAGTCTTGTGTCCACTTACCCAATTAAGGTGCCAACAATTAGGCAATAACCCCAGGGTCTATTTTCCCATAAATCTCCGCAACTCTGGTTCTGGGAGCTGCCCACCCAGGCACCATGGTTCTGCCTTATTTTTCTCAACTGCTGTTAAATCTAACTGATTTAAGGAAACTTTCCTTTGACACGGGCAACGTAGCTAGGTGTCTAAGGGTCTGTGACAACCTGGGAGAAAGCAACAGTGGACAGGAGGAGGCCTTCACTGGGGATATGTTTGAGAGAAAAAACTGGAGTCTTGGTCAATTCAAGGAACAAGAGAGGAACAAGCCCTGGGTGTGCCGAGCCGTGGCTGGCCTGGAGAAGGACACGTCTCAGAGGCAGAGTTGTCCTGGAAGAATACACGGTATGCACAGTGGGAGGCGACGGTGAAGCTGGTGCCAGGAAATGGGCTGGCACCAGAAGCTGGACCCAGAGAGGCTCACGAGTCACCGACACTGAGGTAAGAGCTGGGGTGGGTCCCGTGGGCAGGCGTCAACATGGCATGTGGCCCTGGCACTCACCAAGTTAACCCTGAAGTCATATGCTGTGGTCCTAGAGAGCAGACGCCGAGCCCAGCTGGGACACCTGTAGTGGTGAGCTGCAATGAAACGCCTGAGGCAAGCTTCCAGGGGAGGAAGGAGGCTTATCTGGGCTTCCAGTTTTGAAGGTTTGGAGTCCAAGACCAGGTGGACCCCGCTGGTTCATACATCCTGTGAGCCCAGAGGACACACGGCAGAGCATGTGCAGAGGAAGGAACAAGGGGGGCCAGGAGGCAGCGAGCGAGAAGGGCCAGGCCCGGCCCAGGCTGACACACAGCAAACCTCGCAGGAACTACCTTCCAAGGGCGCGTCCCACTGACCGAAGGACCTCCCGTATGTCCACCTCCCAAGAGGCGCCATAACTGGAGCAAGCCTCCAGCCTCCTAGCCGCACCGATCTGTGACCTCAGGACTTAGCGATCACCCATACATAGTTTGCCAATTCGTAACCCATTCACACCACAGTGAGGCCTTTGAGAAGTGACTACAGTGGAATGGGTTGTGAGGGTGGAGTCCCCATGACGATCCTGAAGGCTTTGCAAACGACCACAAAGAGAGACTTGTGCATGCTCCCTGCCTCTTGCCACGTGACGCCGCAGGCCAGCAAGAATGCCAACACCAGAGGTCAAGCCCCTGGGGCCCACCTGCTCTCTGTGAGCCAACGTAAATCTCATTTTTTTTGTGAAGTCACACTGCCTCAGGAATTTGAGACCCAGCACGATGAAGACAGGAATAGTTGGAGCACCAGGACGCTGCATCGCTGACCCAAGGCAATTAGAAACTGTGAGAAGAGGAGTGATCAAAGGCCACGAGAAGTCAGAGAAAATGAACGGTCAATGCCACTGAATTCTGAAGCTTAAGAGGAACTCAGCAGTGTCTTCCTAAAACGCAATTTGATAGAAAATTGCTAAAAAGAGAACAGGCTGAAAAGGCAGGATTACCGCTGGGGAGCACCTGACCGTCCACGGCAAGTTCCAGGAGGCAGGTTAGTTTGCTCCTGGGCTCCCACGGGCAGCTGCTTTTCAGCAGGCTCAATGTGTTCTCCACATTTAAAAATATGCTTTGACAACAGATGTCCAGTTGTGAATGAAAGAAAAATTCACAATGGGGGCTTAACAGATTGAGAAAACCAAACAGAACACCAGAGGTGGGAATGGCAATAACAAAACATTTTTCCGTATAATCAATAAGCTTCAATGACCTTGAAGGACAGCACGACACTGTCCCCAAAGTTCCCCACTGCCTCCTAGGGTTTGCAGCCTCACATGGCCACACAGTGCCTGCCCAAGGCTTTGCAAACTTTCATCACCTTGAAGGCTTCTTAAAAACAGAGTTGCCTGTGGAAGGGAGAAGGGACGGGGTGTGGGCCGCAGCCGGGAGCCCGCCCAGCGCCCAGGGATGCTGACACCTGCAGGCACCACCGTGCTGCCTGCGGGGCACAGGCACGCTCACTTTGGAAGCCCCTCCTAAATCACACCACACGTATTTAAGTGCACCCTCGGCATTCTCACTCCTTCTTCGAGGCCACTCTGAGCGTTCCCACAGGCCCCTGCAGAGCTCGTGGACACCGATGCTGAGGTTCCAGCGCCTCGCGGGGAAACGGGACTCAGGACCCACATGGGAAGGAGGACTCTCCAGCCTGCTGCTTTGTTTGCCGGGCCTTTCTCCTCTCCCCCTTGGCAGTGCACCTAGCACGTTCTCTCTGCTGCTGGTCTGTGAGGGATTCCAGGTTCAGCCTTCTCTTTAGTCTATAAGCTCTTCCCCAAAGCAAAATCTTTCCTTTTCAACACAATTTCCATCGATCCACCAGCCATTGATTTGTCTCTTAAAGCCAAGACTTAGATCTCAAATGCAACAAATCCAAAACTCAACCTGTCTCTTCCCAAAACCCTGCCCTCTTGTCTTTATTTCCTGGTCTCCTTAGCAGAACACCAGATCCAGAAAGGAAACTCAAAGTCACCTTCAATTTTCCTCTCTTCCACATGGAATAAAGCACTAATCCCCAGAGGTTCAACCTTGAACAGCTCCTGGGATAAGAAGGCAACAGTTACCAAGCGCCAGTCAGGGCAGGCAAGGCAGCAGGGCTGCCCCCGGAATTCTGCTCTCCCAGGAGCCTGGGACACTCCAGTTGAAGAAACGGAGGTTCAAAGAGTAAGAAATTGGCACAAGGCCTGTGGCTAGCAATGGGGGTCCTGGGTTCACACTGAAGTTCCTCAAAGTCCACGTGCCTCAGGCTAACTGATGCTTCTGGTCCAGGTGGGCTCCCTTCTTCCCTTGCCTGGAAGCTCACCCCCTCTTCTTGCACCTCCCACTTCAACATCTGCAGTACCTCACCCTCAGGCCACTGTCTCCTCCAAACAAGAGGGCGCCCTTGTTTAAAAGAAACAAACAAACAACTAAAGCCTCTTAGGCCATACCATGGGTGTTTGGCACAGCAGCTGTTTCGGTTTAACTTAGTATCCCAAGTCAGAGTGCCTAGGTATGAGTTCCAGCTCATCCATGTCCAATCCAACTTCCTGCTAATGCACACTCTGGGAGGCAGCAGGGGATGACCCCAGTACTTGTCCCTGCCACATGTGGGACACCCAAAAAAGTTTCTGGCTCCTGGGTTTGGTCTGACCCAGCTCAGACCACTGAGGGCATCTGGAGCATAAACAAGCAGATCGGAGCTCCATGTCTGTCTCTCTCTGTCTTTCAGATAAAGTATATACATACATACTTACAGACCTACATACACATAAACATACCTACTCATATACATACCTACCTACCGGCTTACATAATCACACACACAAATGTCTACATACATACACACCTAAATAT